TTTCACTCCGACTCAGAGTTCTTCAGTGCTAGTGACGGACACCCCAGTATCTAGGAGTCTCAGTGCTACCTTCAGTGAGCTCACAGGGCAGCCTACACCTCCAGAGTTATGAGTCCCTGTCCCTACTACAGTTGCTCCAGTTACAGGGACTACCGAGACGCTCCCATCGTCTGTTGCATCATCCGAGCCACCTCAGACAGTTACTCCTATCCTTGAGGCTTCAGCGACAGCGATAGCGGTAGATGTGGCTCCACTTCCTAAAGTGATACTTTTAGAGTCACAGGCCGTGCCAGTTACTGAGCAGACCCAGACCGCTTCACCTTCACTTCCAGTGATAGAGGGTCATACCGCTTAGAGCTCAGGGTCAGAGGATGATGCTACTCAGTTACAGATCTCTCACAACACCTCAACACCTGACTCGACTGCTCCTGTCCCGTCGTTTGACCTTTAGGTTTTGGTGCTTGATGCCAAAGGGGGAGAGGGAGCGAGATGTTAGATCTAGGGGGAACATTACATCTAGGGGGAGCATATGATTCATTTCTTTTGGCTCTTTATGTGTGATACATTATGCATTCACGTTTACCTTCATGCATTGCATTACATACTTGTGATGGTGAGACTTGTGACTTGTGTGCTCTCTACATTGATACTTATATATATGTCATGTCACTTGATTATGCTTATTTACTTTGCTTCCGCGTTTTACTCCGATTCAAATGAGCTTTACTTCATGCACTTTTGCTTAATTCATATCCACTGAGTACACCATGTTGGCTTGGGTCATATAAGCATGTCTAACCCTTTTGTTCTTATTGTCAAAAGCGTATATGAACCAAGCATGTTGAAAACCTCACTCATCTCTTTTACATACTCGAGGTTGTGTTGTCATCAATCACAAAAAAGGGAGATTGAAAGCATCTAGGCCCCTAGTTGGGTTTCGGTGATTAATGACAACACGAGATTACTATGACTAACGTGTGTTTTGCAGAGGCAATTTAAGTTAGGTCATGGTAATGGTAATTGATTGGGCAATCATGGTGGTCATGCCCCTAACGATGGAAATCGTTTTGGTTTTTAAAGAATGGACGACAAGGTTAAGGACAAACTAGTTCTAGGTGTCGTTTGGTGTTGGAGAGACACTTAGAGTAGTTTAGAACTTTGTTTTTCCTTTGGCCGTACTATTAAGGGGAGTATGGACTAGTAGCTTGACCTAGGTAAGACTAGTGGGTTAGGTGTGGTGCACACTTATCAAATCTAGCACTAGATAGCTCAGGAATAGCCCTAAGATCAATTGGAGCAAACTTCATTCACATAGGATTTCGAGTTGGAAGCAAATGAAGGGTCAAATGTTGACCGAACGCTCGTCTTGTTGTGACCGGATGCTGGAGGGTGAGTCCAGTCAGTTCATTTGATCAACTGAAGTCATCTGGTTGCGACCGGACACTGAGTGAAAAGTGATCGGACACTGGGTGCCTGCGTCCGGTCAACTCCAGAGAGGTTTCAGAGAGGAAATTTCTTGACCGAACGCGTCAGGTCAGTGCTGACCGGACGCTGGCCAGGATCCGATAACTGACCGGATGCTGAACAGTGAAGTGACCGGACTGTAGATGCCAGCGTCCGGTCAACATCAGTAAGGTTCCAGAGAGCGTTTTTCTTGACCGGATGCGTCCGGTCAGTGCTGACCGGACGCAGGTCAGAGTCCGGTCAGAACTTAACGGCTCTTTCTGACACAGTGGTGGGGATAACTAACCGGAGCGTCCGGTCACCATGACCGGAGCGTCCAGTCACCTCGCAGAGTGATGACTCTGCCTCCAAACGTTATGTTTTGAATGAGGGGGTATAAATACTTACTCCACTCGTCCAAGGGAGGTCTCTTGCCCATTTGTTCAGCTGAGAAACACCTTGAGAGTGCAAGAGAGAGCAAGAGCCTAGTGAGGTAATTGAGATTTGAGAATCTAAGATTAAGGTCCTCATTAGTGCAAGAAAAGTAGTAAGTGTGCATCCACTCTTCTTATTAGGCTTGTCGTGGTCAAGTGAGAGTTTGTGCTTATTACTCTTGGTGATCGCCATCACCTAGACGGCTCGGTGGTGATTGGGAGCTTGGTGATCATCCGGCGGAGCTTGTGGATGACCCAACTCAAGCTGTGAGCGGTTGTGGGCGATTCACCGCGACGGAGTGTCGAAGAATCAGCTCATAGAGAGCATTTGATCCTTGCGCGGATCAAGGGGGAGCTACACCCTTGCGCGGGTGCTCTAACGAGAACTAGTGGGGAGTGGTGACTCTTCGATACCTCGAGAAAACATCGCCGCGTTTCTTTCCCTCTCTTTACTTTGAGCATTTACATTTGAGCAATTCATTTCTTGTCTTTATATTCCTATAATTGCCATGCTAGAGTAGGATTGGAACCTAGGGTGTAAAACTTTTGTGCGGTAAAAGAATAGAAACACATTCTAGGCACAAGGGGTGAAGTGGGCTAAGTGTAGAACTTAATTATTACAAAGAATTTTAGAATTAGCCCAATTCACCCTTCTCTTGGCATCTTGATCCTTTCTGACTCATACGAGAGTCTCGAACAAATGGCATTAGGAGTGGGATCAGATTTACATAGAATCATAAATAACTGCATTTAATTTCCATAATATCTTTTGTTGAATGCAAATATAGATCCAATTATACAAATCGAATAGGTTGGATCCAGATTCACATAGGGATATCAATGGTCACAGAGATAAATTTGTAAATACTTTTAAAATCATATAAATTAAACATAGACACAACTTTGAATGGTACCTATTAAAAAATTAAATAATATATCATTGGCCATATTGGTTAAATTAATATGATTGACATTATTTAAATTTAAAGTTAACCTTTAAACATCATTTCTAATATTAAAAAATAATATAATTCATCATCAGTCATTGAGATGGATTTTAAATAGGTTCAATTGTACATCATTAATGATATTAAAATAAATATAATTAGTCATATATATATTTAATAGATAGTTTTTCTAGTATTTATTGTTCATAAAATTGAACCGGATTTGGAATCCATATTAAAAATTTTGCTTTGTGAGATATTGAGAGGGTTTCACTCAAACAAACACCTCAAAGCCGTTACAAGGAGATACTACAACAAAGTCTAGAGAGCAAATGTCATGCGAGGGACCACGATTTGCTTGAAGAGTGCGATCAAGTTTTGTGACCGAACCAGTAAATATATTACCCAGAGCGTGCTACTAGATAGCAACAGGTAACCGTTGTGAGGTGCGATATAAGAAGTTCTTTTGCCATTTTAAGTGGGACATATTTATTTTGAAATTAAAGAAAACAGGTGGCATATTGAAGGCTATACTTGTAGCAAAATAGGTAAGTAGATCAATAGATCGTATAATAACATCATCAGCAATGAAGCAAGTGGCCTGGTCCAAGGGCTGGAGGAACGAAAAGGGAATAGGCCCATAGATGGATTTAGCTAGGCGGGGGAAAGTAGCTACTTCCTCCATCCCCAAATAAATATTCATAGAATCCGTGCAATTTAAACTATCTTAAGTTTGACTAACTTTATAGAAAAAAGTAACAACATCTACGATATAAAATAAACACATCATGCAAATATATTTTATGGTATATCTGATGATACTAATTTGATTTCATAAATCTTGACGGTTTTTTCTAGAAATTCAGTCAAAGTTTAAATTTTTTGACTTAACACAACTCTAGGAATCTATTTATTCAGGAATAGAGGTAGTAGTTTGTATACATGTATTGGAAACTCTCTAGCATTTGACTAGTGGCCGAAGAAAATCTATTCTGATTGCTCAAATGAAAATAATCTTGTTGGATTTGTTGTGACAATGGCCCCGTTCGCGTGTCCTTAAACCCGGCTTGATCCGCTTCTTTTTTCATCCGAAACCGTGTTTTTCTCTCACAAATTCCTCCAGAATTCTTCCAAACAATCCAAATTCCTCCAGAACCATACCATCCGAACGGGGCAAATATTTTCTTTGTATAGTTTTTTTCTCGAATACGCAAAAGATTTGTGCATCATTGTAATTAAGAAGAAGAGTTGAACCATACAAACGATGCGCTTCTGATGAGCGCCCTAAGACGGCTGGACCGTCCTAGTATACAATTTTCTTTGTATAGTAATTTCACAAACTTTTTTCGAATCACAAGTAATTTCACCGTCTTTTTTCGAATCACAAGTAATTTCACAATTTTTGTTATCACATAGCAGTAGTGAATTATATACTTAACACTACACCAACATCATCCAAACTGTCATATGCTCACGGAAGGAGAGAGAGTAAATACGGAAATTGTTGTGTGCTTTTTATGTGTTTTTCGCAATCTTCTTTTGAAATTTATTTATGTTGTACTCTCTCCATCCCAGAAAATTGATGTTTGAGTATTCAAAATTCGTCGAAAAAAATGTAGGGCACGTTTGGTTCTCAGTCTAGGATACGTGCCTGGACAAGGCAACCACTAGGCGATTTCGAACACCTGGGGTTGGATGCAGCTACCTAGGTGAGGGTGGCAACTAAACAACCTCTAGTGTTGTATTCCTTGGAATTTCACAAAAAAAAAGTTTTTGAAACTTTGGACATTTTACATTTGGTTGGACCCATATCAATATGAAATTTCAAACAGAGGAGGCAGCCAGAAGATCGTATCGGCACAGCCATCCGGCGAATTGCTCCAACCGCTGCCGACCGGCGCGCGCCCCCGAAGCAGGCAACCGCACGCTAGCGGTTGGACGCAACAACACAACACGCCTGCGCCGCTGCCCCGCGCGCGCACGGCGCACACGCAACTCGCCCGCACGCTTGCGCGCACACGCTTGTAACTCCCTGTCTCTCTCACGCTCCCGGCGTGAGTGAGTGACACACAGGCTTGCCGGCCGCGCGCCGGCTTATAGGAGCGCGCTAGAAGTGAGCGGCCAGGAAGCGCGGAGGAGGAAGACTGCAGGGATGCCTGCCGGACGAGCGGTCGCAATGGCGGCCATGGTGGCGGCGGCGGCGGCGCTGCCGCTGCTAGCGGATGGCGCGTACGTAGACTGCTACAACTACTGCTTCAACGACTGCATCTCCAAGGACAAGTCCATGAGAGACTACTGCAGCTACGCCTGCGACAAGACCTGCGCGCCCGACGGCGCGCTCTGGCGCCCCATCGCCGGACTCCCCATAAACAGCCAACTCGCCTGCGTCAGGGACTTCTGCCACCGTCGTCGTGAAGGTAATCTTTGCGCCATGTGTGTAGTGTGTAGTCTGTACACACACGGACACACCTTCATCGATTTGGGAGCGAGTTCAATTTGAGTAGGCATGTGTTTAATTTACTTGTGCAATACTGCATGATCTGAAGACGGCAAGGATAACCGTACGTGTCGGTTTGCAGATGGCAACGACATGAAGGCCTGCTACGGGCAGTGCTACGACCGCTGCGAGACCAAGGCCGGGCTGCCGAGGCCTCTCCGCGCAGGCCGCGGCGCTGTCCGGCCGGCGGCGTTGCCGGACCACCCATTCCACGAGAAGCAGGACATGGTCCGGCCGGCGGCTTTGCCGGACCACCCATTCCACAAGAAGCAGGACGCTGTCTGGCCGGCGTCGTTGCCTGACCATCCATTCCACAAGAGGCAGGACGCTGTTCTGCCCGCGGCGTTGCCCGATCACCCATTCCACAAGAAGCAGCAGGACGCTGTCTGGCCGGCGGCATTGCCCGATCACCCATTCCACAAGAACCAGGACGCTGTTCGGCCGGCGGCGTTGCCGGACCACCCATTCCACAAGAAGCAGGACGCTCTCTGGCCGGCGGCGTTGCCTGACCATCCATTCCACAAGAGGCAGGACGCTGTTCTGCCCGCGGCGTTGCCCGATCACCCATTCCACAAGAAGCAGCAGGACGCTGTCTGGCCGGCGGCATTGCCCGATCACCCATTCCACAAGAAGCAGGACGCTGTTCGGCCGGCGGCGTTGCCGGACCACCCCTTCCACAAGATGCACGATGCGGTCAGGCCGTCAGGAGAGACGGATCCAGGACACGTCATCTCTCCGGCATGGGGCCCCGTCCACCCCTAATCGTCGTTGGAGAGCGACGACGCTCCGCCGCTAACGGCGAATGCCACATGCATATGCTCGTGGCCGGCCCCCGTACGTTATTAAGCACTACTAGAGGAAGTGTGTGATGTGTCAGACGTACTACTACTGTATGCATGCCTATTCTCACGTTTAAGCATAATATGGGTATTATTAGTGTCAATTGATCGACGATGGTCATGTTCCAACATACCCAGGAATGCCGACTGCAGAGTGGTGATACTAAGCATGCCAACTAAGCGAATGGGTGATCGGGCAATGCCGCCGATCGGCTGGGCTTATTCTATCGTAAACGATCGTAAATTTCCAACCGGAACAGTATTTTTCTCTCACACCAAACCAGCCAGCAGTAATTCTTCTAAAATGTAGAGATATGGTCTTCGAAACATATTCACTGAACCGGTTACGAATTCTTTGTGAACAAAGGCATTATGTGAAACTGCTGCGTTTGCCCTGAGAATCTAACCATCATCTGTTATTATGTAATGTCAGCTGAGGAGGAAAGAGGGACACCAAACACCCTAAAGAAGGAGACGTCCGGCTTCTTCCCATTGAGCAACTCATAAGGTATCTTGTCAAGGAATTTATAGGCGGTTGGATGCATAGCATGTGGTGTTGATAGCTTCCGCCCAAAGAGCTTCGGGGGTGTTGTACTCATCAAGCATAGTTCTTGCAAGAGTGATCAATGTCCGGTTCTTCCTCTCAACTACACCATTTTGTTGAGAAGTATATGTTGCAGAGACTTCATGTTTGATTCCAACTTCATCACAATAGGCTTCTATTTTTGTGTTGTCAAATTCTTTCCCATTGTCACTTCTAATCTTTTTGAGCTTTACTTCAAATTCATTTTGTGCTCTCTTGGCAAACTTCTTGAAATAAGATGCAACTTCCGATTTATCATGAAGAAAGAATACCCATGTATACCATGAATAATCATCAACAATCACAAGACAATAAAGGTTTCCTCCCAAACTCTTGTATGTTGTTGGTCTAAATAAATCCATGTGAAGGAGTTCTAGCACTCTTGTGGTTGACATGAAAGCTTTGGTTGGATGAATATTTGCAACTTGCTTGCCGGCTTGACATGCACTACAAAGCTTGTCCTTCTTAAACCTCACATCCTTCAACCCTCTCACCAAATTATTTTTCATTAGCTTCTTGAGTGAGCTCATCCCAACATGAGCAAGTCTTCTATGCCACCCAAATGTTGTTTTGGTGAATAGACAAGTCTTCAAATTTGCATCTTCGGAGGTGAAGTCCACTAGATATAAGTTGTTGTATCTAAATCTTTTGAATATAACTTGATCATCATCCTTCTTGGATACAACAACTTTCTTCTCGGTAAACAAGCATTGAAAGCCAAGATCACACAATTGTCCAACGGATAGCAAGTTCAAACTCAATGAAGCAACATATAGCACATTGGAGATTGAATGATCATTTGATATTGCCACTTTGCCCAATCCTTTAACCTTGCCCTTTGAGTTATCTTCAAATGTGATTCTTTCTTGTCCATCTACTTCTTCATCTAGTGAGGTGAACATACGAGGATCACCAGTCATATGTTGTGTGCAACCACTATCAATAACCTAATGACTTCCACTGGTCTTATAGTTAATCTACACACAAGAGATCAAGCTTTAGAAACCCATACTTGTTGAGGGCCCTTCACCTTCTCAACAAGTGACTTTGCAACCCAAATTTTCTTAGGCCTATTCTTATTTGGAGGTCCTAAGAACATCACTTTCATCTTTCCACTAGAATCCTTTCTAAGCATGTAGTGAGCATTGAAGGCAAATGGTCTAGCATGCTTGGGCAAGGGTTGTGGTGGTGGAGTTTGGTACTCATGAGCAAAGTGGTCTTCTTGTCCACACTCAAAGCATCTCTTTGGCTTTGGCTTTGATTATTGTTGTTGAGTTTGAGCCTTCTTCTTCTCTACATTTGCCATATATCCAATGCCACTTCTATCCATCTTTATGATGGTGTTCATTAAGAGCTCACTTTGAAGGTGCTTGCCTCTTGTGAACTTGCTCAATCCAATCTTAAGATGCTCTTTTTCCAACTTGAGCTTTTTGTTCTCTTCCTTGAGTGCATCACAACTTTTATCTTCCTTGAGTGCAACCTTGTTCCTCTCTTCCTTGAGTTTCTTGTTTTCTTCTTTTAGCTTCTCATTCTCAAGGACCAAATCACCATCATGATCAAGGGTTTCTAGCACAATGGTGTTGTGGGTTTTGAACACTTCAAACTCTTTCTAAAGCTTTTCATTCTCTTGCTTGAGCTTGACATACTCATCATAATCATTGTACTCAACCACTTGCTTGCCTTTGCCACTAGATCCTTGCTCAATGCTCTCATCAATTAAATCATCACATGATATAGCTATATCAATCTTAACAACATGGTTAGTAGCATCATGTGGCTCCTTAGGTAAAAATTCTTGAGCAATGACAAGACTATCATGATTAATCTTAAGGGTAGTATATTCTTCTTTTAGCTTATTGTGGCTAGTGATGAGCTCTTTGTGCACGCACTCAAGTTTATCATGTTTATCTTTAAGGTCTTTCTTAGAAGATTTGAGCTTCTTGAGTTTGGATGACATAGCTTCATTTGCTTCTCTAAGCTCAACACTAGACTTTTCGGCTATGTCACATTTAGCTAAGAGAGAATCATTCTTAATCTCAAGCTCTTCATTTTTTGCTCTAGTCTTTATAATGATCTTAGTGTATTTCTTTAGCAATTTAGCAAGATCAGCATAAGAAGGTGATTCATATTCATCATCATCGCTATCACTATCACTATCATCATTATGAGCATGATCATAACCACTACTATCATCATCATGTGATACCTTTCGTTTACCTTTAGCCATAAGGCATAGGTGTGTAGAGGATGATGGCGGTGGTGGCGGTGAAGATGATGAAGAATTAATAACAATAGCGGCCACCTTCTCGTCATCACTATCATCATCGGATGATCCACTAGATGAATCAATGTCCGTGAGCCAATCATCGACGATGTAAGCCTTTCCACTCTTCTTCTTCTTGCCATCTCTCTTCTTGTATAGCGGACTAGCTTCTCTGCATCGGCTACAGCTGATGGCCAATAAAACCCTGCTCAGAAAGCCTTGCCAACCAGCGTTCTCGAGGCCGCGTGGTTGCCACAGGAGCCGGAGTGGATTTTGTCTAGGAGACGTTCACCATCCTCCTGGGTTATACACTTCATCAAGATTTCCTCCTTCGTGTTCTTGCGCCACAATTTGCCATCGACGAGCAGATACTGCTTACTGCGACGCATCAGACGTTCATTTTCTGTCCGATCGGTGTAACCGCTATCATCTGTCAGATACTTGATGAAAGGTACTCTCCAGTCAGACTCCTTAGTGGTCGGAGGTGGTTTGGTGGTGCTTGACGCTGGAACCGTAGCCACCAATAGCTGGTCTGGAAGCTTGTCGACCGCGGGATCTTCTTCTTTGATGGAGGGCGTGAGCAGATCTTGAACAAATACACCTTGTGGTACTTTGGCTTGGAACGATCCTAACTTTGACAGCGCATCTGCTACATGATTTTTGTCCCGGACCATATGTGTGTACTCGATGCCATAGAACTTACCTTCCAGCTTTCTGATCGCTTTGCAGTATGCGTCCATCTTTTCGCTGGTTGTATCCCAGTCCTTGTTGAGTTGATTGATGACCAGGGCCGAGTCTCTATAGACATAGAGACGTTTAACACCGAGCTCGGCCGCGATGCGCAGACCGTGTAAGCATGCTTCGTACTCGGTGGTGTTATTAGACGCCGGGAAGTAAATCCTAAGGACATATCGGAGCTGCTCCTTGGATGGTGATACGAAAAGGACTCCTACTCCTACGCCGTCGATGTTGAGAGAGCCGTTGAAGTACATATTCCAATACTCCGTGGGCCCTTGAGAGGCAGGCGTGCTTAACTCTGTCCACTCGATGATAAAATCGACAAGTGCCTGAGACTTGATTGTAGTACGGCTTGCAAATTCCAAGGAGAAAGAGCATAACTCCATTGCCCATTTGACGATGCGCCCGTTCGCATCCTTGTTGTGAATGATGTCTCCCAGAGGGTACTCAGTCATGACCACCACACGATATCCGTCGAAGTAGTGTTTCAACTTTCGGGATGTAATCAGTATGGCGTAGATCAACTTCTGAATCTGTGGGTACCTAGTCTTGGATTCATTGAGTAGCTCACTAATGAAATAGAATGGTCACTGTACCTTGTATACGTGGTTGGGCTCATCGTGCTCAACCACCATGGCAGTGGAGACCACTCGATTAGTTGCCGCAATGTAAAGCAGGAGGGTTTCGTCTTCTCTAGGAGCAGTGAGGACTGGAGGTGATGTAAGGAATTGTTTTAGCTGTGTAAAGGCAGCGTCTGCTTCCTTCGACCACTCAAACTTCTTGGATGCTTTGAGTAGCTTGAAAAACGGTAGTCCTTTTTCGCCCAATCTTGATATAAAATGACTGAGGGCAGCCATGCATCCAGTAAGCTTCTGAACATCCTTCACCTTTTTGGGCGGCTTCATGTCCAAGACAGCTTTTACCTTCTCTGGGTTAGGGCGTATACCGTCATGACTGATGACGTTGCCGAGCAGTATACCAGATGGGACACCAAAGATGCACTTATTTGGGTTTAATTTCCATTAGAATGTGTTAAGGGCTATAAAGGTACGCTCCAGGTTGTCAACAAGGGTGTATGCTTCCTTGGTTTTAACGACTACATCGTCAACATAAGCCTCGACAAGGTCGTCTTTTATCTCGTCTTTGAGGTAGGCCTGTATGGCGTGTTGGTAGGTAGCCCCAGTGTTCTTGACCCCGAATGACATGGTCGTGTAGCAGTAGGCGCCGAAGGGCGTGATGAAGGATGTCTTGATCTGGTCGTCCTTTTTTAGAGCGATCTGATGATAACCAGAGTAGCAATCGAGAAACGAAAGCAGCTCGCAACCGGCGATTGAATCTA